TAATTTACATTCATTAGCACACAATGTGCACTAAAGTGAGACAAATGCTGTTTTTCCTGCATGTAAATGTCTGCAACTGAGCGACTGGACTAAACCATACAACTTAATGTAAAGCAAGAGGGGAAACTGCTTATGTTACAGTTGCTCCAAGTCCTAGGAGTTTAATTCATTTAATTTAATTTCTCTATACACAGTTGAAACCAGAAGTTTACATTCACTGTATAAAAAGACACATAGAACCTTTTTTTTTCTCACTGTCTGACATTAAATGTGACTAAAGTTTTCCTGTTTTAGGTCAGTTAGGATTATCAAAATTATTTCTATTTGCTAAATGCCAGAAAAATGAGAGGAAGACGTTTTTAGAGAATTTTTTTATTAAACATTTCCTTAGTATTTGGTAGCTTTTCAGCTCTGTCCACAGATTTTCTACAGGATTGAGATCAGGGCTTTGTGATGGCCACTCAAAAACACTGACTTTGTTGCCCTGAAGCCTCTTTGTAACTAATCTGGTGGTATGTTTAAGGTCATTGTCCATGTGGAAGACCCATTTGTGCCCAGGCTGTAACTTCCTGGTTGATGTCTTGAGATGTTTTTCATCATTTCCACATAATGTTCTGTCCTCATGATGTCATCTATTTTGTGAAGTGCATCAGTCCCTCCTGCAGCAGAACACCCCACAACATGATGCTGCCACCCCCATACTTCACAGTTAAGATGGTGTTCTCAGGCTTGCAAGCTTCCCCCTTTTATCTCCAAATGTAACGATGGTCATTAAGGCCAAACAGTTCAATTTTAGTTTCATCAGACCACAGGACATGTGTCCAGAAATGAAGGTCTTTGTCCCTGTGTGCATTTGCAAATTGAAATCTGCTTTTTTTTTTAATGTTATGTTTGGAGTAATGTCTTCTTCCTCTCTGAATAGCCTTTCAGCCCGTGTCGGTATAGGACTCGTTTCACACTCTATTACCAGCTTCTGCAGCATCTTCAGAAGGTCTTCTGCTTTTGTTCTGGGGTTGATAAGCACATTTCACACCAAAACACTTCATCTCTGGGACACAGAACCCGTCTCCTTCCTGAAAGGTATGATGGCTGGACTTTCCCATGGTCTTGTGTATAATCGTTTGAACAGATGAACGTGGAACCTTCAGGCATCTGGAAATTATACTTAAGGATGAACCAGACTTGTGGAGGTCCACCATTCTTCTTCCTTCCATGTTTTGACAAAAGGAAGCAGTGTGTTCGAGGTGTGTCTTAAAACACATCCACAGGTGTGCCTCCAATTAACTCAAATGTTGTCAATTAATCTATCAAAAGCTTCCAAAGCCATGACATCATCATGTGAGCTTTCCCAAATAGTTTCAAGGCCTAGTCATTATAGTCTATGGAAACTTCTGACTTTGAAGAAAGTAATACAAAAAATATCTAAAAAAAAAAAAAACCCTTCTTTTATTATTCTGGCATTTAGCAAATAGAAATAATTTCCTGACTGACCTAAAACAGGAAAAGTTTAGTCACATTTAATATCAGACAGTGAGGAAAAAAAGGTTATATGTCTTTTTATACAGTGTGTGTTAACTTCTGGTTACAAGTTTCCAATACTGCAAACCTTAAAAAAAAATCACATTTGAGATTTGAGAACTGTCTTCCACTTCATTTTTAACAAAATATGTATCCAAAACTAACTTAATACATACAGTCATGTAAAAGAACTTTTAGACATCCTTGTTTTCTTTCATTTCTTGTTCATTCTAATGCCTGGTACCACTAAAGGTGTATTACCTGAAGAATACAATGAACACAACAAAAATGCAACTGATTACATAATACTTTATGTCCTATTTGACATGCTTAAGTTTAATTGTATTCCCAGGATATATAAGAGGCCAGTTATGTCATAAGCAGCATTGCACATGCAAAGGCCTAGAGTGGTTTCCTGCTTACATTCAAGCTGTAGCACAACTCAGAAGTTGTCAGTTCTCACATAATGCCTAAAACAAAAGAAATATGTGAAGCCACAAAGGCAGCCATCTTGACACTGCTGGAAATTGGCATGAGAGAGAGACAGGTAGTGAAAAAACTAAAGATCTCCAAGACAGTCGTTCTTATACCAAGAAAAAACAAGCCCAACATGGTACTACCAAACTGCCAGCTGGTCATGGCAGGAAACGTCTTTCCACCCCATGAGATGACTGTGCACTCATCCGTTCCTGTGTCAGGAATCATCATCAGACCTCCAGGGACCTTAAAAATGAGCGGGCACTGTGGAGAAATGTGACTTGTTCAGCAAGGACAGTTTGAAACCGACTTCTTGAAGCTGGACTGAAGTCACCCAGGGCACAAAAGAAGCCCTTCATCAACCAAAGGCAGAGGAAAGTCCGGTCTTTGCTGGGGATCACAAGGATTGGACTGTTGATGATCGGACTAAGGTTCTCTTCAGTGATGAATCCAATTGTCAGTTGATGCCCACCCCAGCCAACCTACTGGTAAGGAGGAAGCCTGGAGAAGCCTACAAACCAAACTGTCTTGCCCCTACAGTAAAACATGGGGGTGGATCAGTGACCATCTGGGGTTGTTTCAGTTTGGATAGAACAGGGCAAATGCAATTGTGTGAAGGGCAAATGAACCAGGTCATGTACAGGGCTACTCTTGAAAACAGTCTTCTTCCATCAGCTGTAAAACTCTTTCCTGCCTTGAATGACTGGATTCTCCAACAAGACAATGCCTCTTACCACACGGCGAGGTCAGTTAAAGCCTGGATGGAGAACCAGAACATTTGAACCATGCCTTGGCCTGCTTAATCACCAGATCTAAATCCAATTGAAAACCTGTGGAAAATCATGAAATGCAAAATGGAGAACCACAAGCACAAAAACAAAGCAAATCTGTTTGAATTTGTTCAACAGGAATGGGCTGCTGTGACAGCAGAACAATGTCAGAAGCTGGTGGAGAGGATGCCAAGGCACAAGGCTGTAGTCATCAAAACAATGATTATGTGATCAAGTACTAACTCCTGTGTGTAGCGTGTGACTAAAACAGACAGAAAAGAAAACATGGAGTGCCTAAAAGCACTATTTTTGGCTGTAGAATGCCATAACTATTGATGTAAGAACTTCAGTGATTTTGGTTGTTATCAAGAAAACCATAGACAATGGGTAGATATTAGGTCTTAAATGAAACTCTTATGAGCTGTTTTTGTTGTTATCATTATATTTGTCCAAACAAATGTACCTTTAGTTGTACCAGGCATTAAAATGAACAAGAAATTGAAGAAAACAAGGCTGGTCTAATATTTTTTTTTCCACGACCGTATATGACGAATGTTTCACAACTAAACAAATAAATATCAAAGCCAAGTATGACAGAAAAGTGATGAAAACAAGCAAAAATACAACATAATTTCTGTAAACAAATGAGCAAATTCATCTAAAAAGGTCTTTTTGAGGGAAATGAAGCAGCAACTGGGACAAATTTGTTTTAAAAGTATTGTGTCGGAAGAGTAGAATAAATGCGTACGAAACCCAAAGTCCTGGAATACTGGGACCAGGTACATAACAGATCTAAAATATGTCCACAAATATCAACATAAGTAGAAAAGTGTATGTAGTATATTGTATATAAGAGGAAGTGAGCAATGTTAAGAAATCAGAAGAATGCAGAAACATTTCCATTACGGGTTTTTTAACATTTCAAAACTCATGAATTTGAGAAAGTGTCATCAACTTCATTTCTAACAACATGTTTTTCCAAAACAAAATTCATACATATACAGTTGAAAGATTTTTTTTTTTTTATAGATTTTTTAATATTACTTTCTTTAAAGTCAGAAGTTTCCATATATTAAGATTACTATGCCTTCAAACTATTTGGGAAAGCCCAGATGGTGATGTCATGGCTTTGGAAGCTTTTGATAGATTAATTGACAACATTTGAGTTAATTGGAGGCACACCTGTGGATGTGTTTAAAGACACACCTCGAACACACTGCTTCCTTTTGTGAAAACATGGAAGGAAGAAGAATGGTGGACCTCCACAAGTCTGGTTCATCCTTAGGTACAATTTCCAGATGCCTGAAGGTTCCTCGTTCATCTATTCAAATGATTATAAACAAGACCATGTGCAGCCATCATACCTTTCAGGAAGGAGATGGGTTCTGTGTCCCAGAGATGAAGTGTTTTGGTGTGAAATGTACACATCAACCTCAGAACAAACGCGCTCGCGAGAGAGTTTAGTCATATTTAATGTCAGACAGTGAGAAAAAAAAGGTTATATGTGTCTTTTTATACAGTGTACGTAAACTTCTGATTTCATATATATATATAAAGACTGTTTCACAATTAAACTACAAAATTACAAACTCAAGAATGTCAGAAAACAGAGTAAATAAGAGGTAAAACATCTTAAAAATGTGCTAAAGTGAAAAATGCACCATAAAGTGACACGTGTTAAGAATAATAATATACAATGAATGAGGAAATGAAAAGAGATGAAAACAAAAATAGTATATAATTAATGTAAAAAAAAAAACAAAAGAGCAAATTCATCTGCCTCTCAAAGTGAGTCTTAAAGGGTTTTGTGGGGGAGATATGAAGCTGCAATATGGACAAACGAGTTTAGAAAGTATAGTGGAGGAGGAAAATAAATGCTTCAAGGACCCAAAGTCCTGGAATACCGGGACCCAGTTTGGAAATGGAAACCCGTAGAGAAATGGTGGTCCAGTCGGAGAAGAGTCACCCCTCAGTGTGTGTGTGTGTGTGTGTGTGTGTGTGTGTGTGTGTGTCGTCCAGCTGTGAGCACAGACCCGCCCATTCATCGAAAGCGCGCAGGGGTCTCTCAGCCTCTCGGTTCCAGATTGACCAGCGTACCATCCAATGAACGCGCGTCCCAGCGTGACTCACCTCTTTTCCTTTTCCAATGGCAGCGCGACGGGGAGGCGGGCCACAGGAAGCACACTTGGTTGAATGACCATTAAAGCAGCAATCAGCGGTAAATATGTTATGATGCCACGCTCCAAACAGACACCGAGCGGATCGTCCGTGGTTGCCACGGAAGCGCACTTTTGCACCGGGTAGGCGCTTCACGAAATGCCGCCGCCGCTTCTGTGCGTATCCGCTGCGGAGGAGGCTGCAAATCAAATCAGGAGTCGCTCTCTGGGGGTTTGAGCAGTGATGGACAGCTGTTGGACATCGATTGAGGGGTGAACTGAACATGCGGTAAGGCAGGCTCACACCATGGACCGAGAAGCTGTGTTTTGTGGCTGCCTGAAGCGGAGGAGGAGGTGGTGGAGGAGGAGCGGCTGACTTCTCCTCTCTTGCTCCGATCAGCACAAGTGTGACAAGGATTCGTGATGATGCTTTTTGGCCAAAAACGTGAGACTCCCGCTGCCGTCCAGCCTGAAATGTGTGGCCGAGACAGGTGCATGAAGACTTGAGCGCTGCCAACATGGAATTCCATTTTTTTATTTATTTATTTTTTGTATTTCGATCCACCTCCGTCTTTTCTGTCCTCAAGAAATACAGGAAACATGTCCGCAGATGTATAACGGGTTCGTAATTGATGGTGCTGCGCTATGATCTCTGGGGACTATCTGAGTTGTGTAATGGTTTTTATTCCATCTACAACAATCTCTCCACGGATGATAGTTAATTGGGCCCAATGATGTAGAGCCAAATCCACCTGGATCTCATGTTCCCTCCTCTCGTGGCGAATCTTGCTCCCCTGTGACTTTGCGCATGTTCAATTGTTTTTATCCCCAGAGCTTCTCTCCTGGTTGCTGCTTTGGATGATTCCATTCTGAATGTTTTTAGAATTTGCCTCAAAGTGGGGGATTTAACTGTACTGGCTTCACATGCACAAAACATGAGGAATTGTGTTTCTAAAAGACACTTAATGCGCCTTATCCGTGGGATTAAATAGTTCCCTGATATTGTTTCTCAGTGGAACAAAACTTTTCCTATAGAGTTTATTTCCTCAGGCGCAGTCCTGTGCTTCTGCTCTCCACATGTCCAGATCAAACAGTGTCAGCCCACCCGGAGTCGGTGCGCCCGGGCTGAGGGGAGGGACCGAACACAGATCAGCTTGGGGAGAGTCTGAGTCTGTGGCCAACGGGTGCCCATACTCGGCCAGATCCCCGCGCAAGAAGCTCACCCGGACCAACAGCCGGTGGAGGGAGGAGGATGATCTGGAGCACCGGCCGAGCGGGCGAGCCTCCACCGCGGTCAGCAGGGTCAGCTTCAGGTCCAGGTCGGCTTGGCAGGACCATGGCGAGGAGAGCCGAGACAACAACCGCGCGTCCAGCAAGCGTCCCGACGGCGAGGTGAGACCCAAGTCCGTGGAGCTGGGTCTGGAAGAGCGCAGAGCCAAGCCGAGGACCGACGAGGAGGAGGTCATGCCCGAAGTTAACTTTTCTCTGGTGGCGTGCTGCACCAGCGTCATGCACATTTTTAAATCCAAGAAATTCCAGTCGGAGAAGTTGGAGCGGCTCTACCAGCGCTACTTTTTCCGTCTCAACCAGAGCAGCTTGACTATGCTCATGGCAGTGCTCGTGCTGGTCTTCACGGTCATGCTGGGCTTTCACTGCTCCGGTGGGACCGCGGGGCCGAGCGTCACGTACGTAGTGGTGTTTTCCGTGGCCATCTTCCTCACGCTTGTACTCATGGTAGTGTGCAACAGGAACGGCTTCCACCAGGACCACATGTGGGTCGTGTGCTACGTGGTCATCCTGGTGGTACTGGTGATCCAGGTGATAGGAGTGCTGCTCGTTCAGCCCAGAAGTGCCTCGGAGGGGATCTGGTGGACCGTGTTCTTCATCCATGTCATCTACACTCTGCTGCCCGTCAGGATGCGCGCCGCGGTCATCACTGGAGTTATACTTTCTGCCATCCATGTGGCCATTTCTTGGATGTTAAACGGAGTGGACAGCTTTCTGTGGAAACAGGTATGTGGAAGAACCTACTTTGTTTATAAAGTCCCATAACAATGTGCGCAGAGGTGGGATTTTACGCATTCGCCGTGCGCAAAAACGCACAGCGAAGAGTTCCCTTCAAAGTCTCTTGTGACTCAACTTATTTTCCTTCAAGCTGAAATTGGTTAAAAAGCAGCTGTGAGATTATGTTAGCAAGTGGTCTGTATTGGATTAGTGGAGCTATTGGTTTCCCCCCACCCCCAGCAGAGGCATGCGCAGGGAGAAAACCCCAAAAAAGTGGCACCACAGCTGCTTAAAACACCTGTTCTGTGCTCTTGAGGTCCGAAAGTGTGTGATTCATCATGGTACATTTCCCAAAACGAACAAAAACACACAAAAAAGACAGTTTTTGGAAGCAGATCAGGGAAACAGTGTGATGCAGCCACAAGGAGGTTATGATGACAAGTATTCAAGTATTTCACCACGCCTTTTTGAAACTATAAACTCTTTCAGATGTGGTCTGATCTGGATTATTTGAAGGAATTGAAGTTTAATTTTTGCCCAAAGTTTGTTGTGTTAACCAAACAGCATGTAGGCTAATCAGAGTTAAGTTATTAGAGAGGCAACTGACCAGAACCAGAGGTGCATTCTGGGGGATATAAAGGTAAAAACGATGCTTTGAAGAGCCTCATCAAGTCTTACAAACTCCTGGATGAGTAAAGGTTTTCGAAAAAGGGAGAGTGGAGAGAACTGAGACACAAAGATCAATAAAACTTTATGTTATTCTTTGTTGTGTAGCCTAATTGACAACTTGAGGTAGTGACTGTTTGACAAACTCTTCACTATGATATGGAGCTGCTGGTTGCCATGGAAACCACTGCTGGCTTGTTGCTCCTCAGGTGTGCCACCAGCTGTACGTTTAGCTCCAGTCAGGTTTTCTTTTGCTGTTTGCCTTTTTCAAACATTCGTCCAACCTGTTCAACCAAATCCAGCAAAAACTTAAAGGTCCTCATACCTAAATAGAAATATTGTCAGAAAAGACTTTGATTACAGGTGCAGGATTTGCAAAGTGGAAGGTTTTGGTGATCATTAATTTGGAAAACAGTGACACACGATTTCTGTGACATTTACATTTTTTCTGCAGCATCGCTTTATGTGTCATCATGCGTCATGACACACACACACCTGATCATTAAATATTGCAGTGTAGCAACACATTTTAGTGCATTCAAAATGAATAGCGATTGCCTCAGAGCTGATTATATGTCCAAAGAAAAACCAGATGATTCCTGTTTAGATGGAATTTGTCTGTTTATTGTTTGTTATGGTGTTCTTGTAACAAATGCTTCTACATAATTACTTATTGAGAATGCATTTGTACGCAGAGGATGTTTATTTGATTTATATTTTCTTCGAGTGCATCTTATTCAAGCAACAAGTTCGATATATAGCTAAATAACATTCCTAACCTCTTACTGTAGGCCTTAAAGCACATTTCTAACCACAGATGTATATCTTATTTAAGGCTAATTATTCTACTGTAAAGTGCTGGTTAAATGCCTGAATTCACAGCTGCTTTATAGAAAAGGAAAAAAAAAAGAGCTCACGGCTTCGGAAAGACTGATTTCAGGTCGTCTGTTTAACTTCATCGGGACGTGTAATAATCTCACCGCCGATGCTTTCAGGGGATATTGTTTTAATGTGCTGCTGAGCCTGCGTGTTCCTCATAACATCCAAACTGCCTCTGGTAGTATTTTTACAGCATCAATATTGCGCTCAAACATTTCTCCAGGGCTGCTGGACTTTATCTGCAATAAAGGTGCTCGAACAAATGGGTTTAATTTTCCACCATTATTTAAAGGTACACTTAATTGCGTCGTTTACTGAGTTCTACAACAAATTAACCCCGAAATGTTCTCTGTGTTTGTGTGTCTGCGTGTTGCTTCTAACCCGGTAGCTGCTCTCTCCCACCTAAGTGTTTTGGCTGTTGACCCAATTTGCTGTGTTAATCAGGCCCTGTGCTGCTCATAAACATGTTCTTTAACAGTGTAGCTCTTATACCGTGAGCGCTTTTATAAAGACGTCAGAGTATGGAGAGAGCCGCTTGTTAATGTCTTTTGTGCCTCAGGACCTCCCTGAAAATGGAGAATGTATGAACTGCGCCATATGGCCAAAATTAATGGAGTTTTCTGAGGATGTTTTTGGCTCCACAATTGAAGAATTTGTTAATGCTACAGTGTACAACGATATTTTAGACTATTGTGTATCTCCAAGAATGTTTCAACAGTTTGTGGAAGCTCCTTTATCTAAACAAATGGCCTTTTTGGGGATTAATTGGACCGCTGACCCTGTGTGAGGCAGGACTTTTGGCCCAACACGAGGATTTCTATTCCTGCGCTCTCCGGGCTCTGCTGCACCTTTGGCGGCTTCATGTTGTGGCCCTGAGGTTATGCTGTAGGCTACACTTTAGCTGATTTGTACCTCAAAGATGTAGCTACACATCTGGGCCTTGGCGTTGATGGAGATGCCATGTGAGGAGAATAGAAACTGTGATTGGCTGCTTGTGTGATGGTGGTGGAGTTTGTCTGTAACTGTCTTAAATCTGTTTTTAACAGACTGTAAGACTAACACAAGAGACTGCTCTGCAAACCCCCTGCTCCTTGCAAACATTGTTTTGTATGAATGATTACATGCATACAAGTGGCAGGAGTCCTGGGAGCCCCTTACAGGTTTTGATTTATTGTCAGCTATTGTTTGCGTCGACTGTAAACCCAGTTTTATCCATCACATCTACTTCTGGCACGTTAAACTGACAGCTGCAGCTCTGGTGTCTCTGCTGAGGTTGTTCACTGGAAGCTGTTCAGAAGCAATGCGTGTTCAAGCAGTCTGTCACTTAGGAGCTGATATTCAACATTTTCCTAATTGTGGTTATTATTATTATTATTATTATTATTATTATAAAAGGCGCTACTTGGATCTGATGCAGCCATCTCTGTCCATCTGTAGTCTCCAGCAATGTCCCGCCCATAGTCCTCTCTGATTGGTGACACATCACGAGTAATGGCCTATCAACAATCAGTAGAAACATTAAAAAGTTCTCTTTTAATTTAAACATGTGTAGAACATACTAAAAGGAAAGGTTTGTGTTGAATTAATCTAAATGTTGACACCACGATTGTCATGCTGACTGCAAAATATGTACAAACTCCAAACATTGGTTATCAGTCGCTAATCAGTATCAGCCATGGAAAAAGAAACACACTTCTGATTTGCATGTTTGTTGACAATGATTTTAAAACACATTTTCCTCTTGTATGTGATCAGCCCGGCGACAGAATAGAAATTTCCCACTGTCTTGTTTTTATTTTTGCATTTGCATTGCCTGCATTGTGATTTATTAGGAGAAGGATCACAACATTTTTCCGTCCCTAATCAGATTTCAGAGAAGTCATGTGAAAAAGAGAAGTTAATTCATGTACAATGCAGGCCACAAATAAAAGACACACTTCAGAGATGCTGGTGTGACAATAACCAGGAAGCAGAGCGAGAAAAGAGCCCCAGATGAGGATGCCACACTGGCTGGATTGGCAATGGTTCATCTCCGTTCGCTGTGATTGGAACCAAATGCAATGCAGCCATGTGATAGTGCTCCTGTGGCTCAACAGGTGCAAATCCCTGTGGTCAGGTTCTAAAATCCTGTGGAAAACCTCCAAACTAGAGGGTTGTAGCAGCAGAATCATGCTCATGGTTTTCAATCTACATTTTAAGCAGTCGGACATGGGTGACAGTTCCTGACCGTGTTGGTCATATAGTGTGAATACATTTATATTTAAGCCTCTCAACATTAGCTATTCAACAGTTTGCTCCAGAAATGAAACGATGACATTATCCTATATTATACATTGGGCCATCAGCAGTGAATTCAACTTTGAAAATAATGTATTTCATTTGAAGACCATTTGAAAAAACCCACTGATGGCGCAGGAACAGCCTGGTAACGTGTTCACCTTCTTCAGTCTTCTCATCCATCACAAGCACATCTGCAGCGAAAATGTGCAAAGAATGTGTCAAACACCGGAAAGGATGTTAGGATTTTTTTTCATCCCTTTTGTTTCTTTTTGGAATCTAATGTTTGGTTATATAAGCAAAAAAAGCGGGCTGATAGTTTGGTTTTTCTTTTGCGTGAATGCCATGTGACCCTGCATCTGTTTGTATTTTCTGCAAAAGCTACATTGTCATTTGATGTGCTGATGTGAGTGTGTGGGAACGAGCTGCTGTATTTGTTGTTCTTTCCTCACCATGCTGTTGTTTTTAGCATATCTCGTCTCCTCTGTTTACATAGGACCCGGCTCGTCGCTGAGTTAGACAACTGCTGTTTATGTAAGATCCCATGATAATGCTGTTTCTTATACAGGTTCTCCCAGGGATGTATTGAGTTTCCTTTTAGTCTTTGAATCAGTCGACCACGAGATTTCTTTTTATTTTATTTCACATTAGAGTGGATAGTATCGTGATGCAGTTTGACTTTGAACACTCATGCGCTCTGAGCTTCCACAGGACAGCTCTCCATCGGGTTGTGGTGTGTTAGTGTGGCTTGTTTGGTCCAGTAAAAACAATGCTATTCAAATTCAAGCCAGATAACAGCACTGGGCTGACGTACAATGTGTGTCTGCGGTACTTTTGCCAAATCCAGGACTGAAACCTGAAAACGAACAACCGGGTTTGATGTGGATAACCAGATAAATCTTGTTAGGAAATAATGTAGAAGTGTGTTTTTGTCCATAGGAAACTTTCCAGAGAACCCAAGAGATTAAGTGCAGCTCATTCAAACTTTATATGGAATTTGGTTGAACAGAACAGCTGTTTGTTTTTTAGAGACTATGTTTTATTGCAACGTAAGAGCTAACTATGGACTCTGTCCTTGTTGCATGCAAATGAACCGTGGCGTTGTCGTGCACATGCAACAGGTGTGAGCAGTAACTCTTTTGACTCAGGATGCTGCGTGACGCTGCACGAGCAACATCAGGAACATC